AGAGAGAGACCAGAGAGAGACCAGAGAGAGGACCAGAGAGGACCAGAGAGGACCAGAGAGAGGACCAGAGAGAGAGACCAGAGAGAGACCACAGAGAGACCAGAGAGAGACCAGAGAGAGACCAGAGAGAGACCAGAGAGAGACCAGAGAGAGACCAGAGAGAGAGACCAGAGAGAGACCAGAGAGAGACCAGAGAGAGGACCAGAGAGAGGACCAGAGAGAGACAGAGTAGACCAGAGAGAGACAGAGAGGACCAGAGAGAGACCAGAGGAGAGACCAGAGAGAGACCATGATAGATACAGAGGACTATACCAGTATTAACAGTATAACAACAGAGCAATCTGTCTAACCTCTCTATCCCATGAGTAACCATGCTATGAGTACCATATGATAGACCATGCGACTCACCCCACTTCCTTCCCGCTCTATACCGTCTTCCTCCCACTCTCCATACCATAGCCAGATACCACGAACCCAGTCCTCAGCTCCCTGGTTCCCAGCCATCTCCCCTCATGAGCTCACTCCTCTCCCTAGGATCGCTCCCTTCCTCCTCTCACTCTCCCCTCCCCTCCCCTCTCCTCCTCTTATCTCCTCTCTACCTACTCCCATCTTCTCTCTCTCTTCCCTCTCTCCCTCTCTCTCCTCTCTCTCCACTCTCTCCCCTCTCTTCTCTCCTCCCTCTCTCTCCTCACTCTCCCCTCTCTCCTCTCTCTCCCCCCACCTCTCTCCTCCCCTCTCTCTCTCCCTCCTCTTCCCCTCTCTCCCCTCCTCTCTCTCCCCTCTCTCTCTCCTCTCCCCTCTCTCTTCTCCCCTCTCTCTCCCCTCTCTCTCCCTCTCTCTCCCTTCTCTCCCTCTCTCTCCCCTCTCTCCCCTCTCTCTCCCCCCTCTCTCCCTCCTCTCCTTCTCCCTCTTCTCTCCCTCTCTCTCCCTCTCTCTCTCCCTCTCTCTCCCCTCTCTCTCCCTCTCTCTCTCCCCTCTCTCTCTCCCTCTTCTCCCTCTCTCCCCCCTCTTCTCTCTCCCTCTTATCTCCTCTCTCTCCCTCTCTCTCACCTCTCTCCCCTCTCTCTCTCTCCCTCTCTCTCATCTCTCTTCCTCTCCCCCTCTCTCTCCCTCTCTCTCTCCCCTCTCTCTCCCTCTCTCTCTCTTCTCCCTCTCTCTCCCCTACTCTCTCCCCTTCCCATCTCTCCCTCCCCCTCTCTCCCCCTCTCCCTACTCTCCTCCCCTCACTCTCTCCCCTCTCCTCTCCCCACATCCCCCCCACTCCCCTCCCCTCCCTCTCTCCCCCCCCCCTCTCCACCCTCTCCCACTCCCCCACCTCTCCCCCTCTCCCCCCCCTCCCCCACCCCACCCACCCTCCCACACAACCCCCACCACCAACCCACACCCCCAACCACTACCCCCCCACCCACACCCCCCCATCACACCCCCCACCCCCCACACCCCCCACACCCACCACACACCCCACACAACCCACCCTCCCCCACACCCCACACCCCCCCACACACCCCACCACCACCCACCACACACCTCACCTCCACCCCTCACACCCCACACCCACACCCTTACTCCCCCACCCCACTACCCCCCAACACCACTCACCACCCCACACCCCCACTCCCCCCCACACACACCCCCCACACCCCCACATCACCCCACCTCCCCCACTACCAATCTATACCCCCACCCACCCCAAAACTCCCCCCCCCCCCCACAACCCCCCCCACAACCCCCAACCCCCCTCACCCCACCTCCCCCCCCCCCATCTACCCCAACCCCCCTCACTCTCCCCCACCATACCTACCCCCTCCCCCCCCACCCCCCCCACCCTACCCCACCATCACCACCCACCCACTCCCACTCATCCCCCCACAATCTCCACCACCTCATCATCTCTACCCCCAAATCCCCCCTTCCATCCCACACTCCCCCACCCACACCTCCCACCCACAACCCACTCTCCACTCACATCCCCCCCAACACTAAACCTCCACAAACTACCCCCACACTACCATCACACACTCTCCCCCCCCCCTCCACCCACCCCTCCCCCACATAAAACCTCCACCACTCCCCAACCCTCCCCCCACCCCCCCACACCCTCTCCCGATCGTGATGCCGCCCCCTCCACCCCCCTATCCACTCTCCATCCCACTATCACCCCCCCCCCCATTTATCTCCACCCTCTATTGTGAAATGCCCCTGTGCCTGTTCTGTACCACCCAATCCCACCCGCATCCCCCCCCCCCATACATATTACCCTTGCCTGTCTTGCATAATAGCCCACCGCCTTAGCCGTGCTCGTGTGGTCTTGTCTCCTGTCCGCCCCCCTTACTTTCCCCCCTCCATCAGTCCCTCATCCCCCCCACCTCTCTCATCTCTCTATCTCCCCCTACCTCCTACTCTCCCCCTAACTTAACAATCTTTATATTCCAATATACCTACCCCACTATCCCTCTCCTAACCACACTTTAATCACACTCCCTATCCCCCGTCCCACTCCCTCCCCACTCCCCCCTCTTCATCCACCCACATCTCATATTTCCCCCTTTTAACTTTACTCACCCCTACATATAACACCCCCCTTAAACTTCTCCTTCCACAACCCCTCTAATTCCATCCCACGCATTTTACACTACTCTACTACCCCCCATCTACCCACCTTAACATATTCCCCCCCCTATCTCCCCCTACCATTATACCTTCCCCCATCCCCACTCTCTCCCACATATCTCCCATCTACCTCCCCATCTATACTCTCCCATCTATCTCCCCTCTACTATCCCATTATATATATCCCCATCTATATCAACTCACACTAATCCTCCACCTCCTAATAATAATAATCTCTACTTACACACCATATTACACACACACTTACACACACATTACACACAATTACACAAACATTACCCCTCACACATTACATACACACACATTTACACACACATTTTTACATACACACAATTATACACAACACATTACCACACATCATTACACACACAATTACCACACACCATTACCACACACAATTACACATCACATATTACACACACATACACCCACACTATCACCACACCACATTTAAACACCCACACACATTAACACCACCCACAATTATACCAACCCAAATATAACCCACCACCCCCCCCCTATCAATTAACACACCCTTACATTACCCCCCTATCAACACCACACTTACCACATTACCACAACCCTCATTACAACCATCTCCATATGTTCTCTTCACTCTCCCCCCCCTTGCTACTAGATTTTGTGTTTTGATTGGCTTGCACATAGAGAGGTCTGTCTGGGTCTGTATCAGAATTAGTCTCTAGGTCTGAGCAGGATGGTAGTGTGGTGTCTGGCTCTGTCTGCTGAGTTTGATCTGCTGCTGATGGTCTTCTGTGTGTGATGAGTCTCTCTCTGGTCTCTCTCTCTCTGGTCTCTCTCTCTGGTCTCTCTCTGGTCTCTCTCTCTGGTCTCTCTCTGGTCTCTCTCTGGTCTCTCTCTCTTCTCTCTGTCTCTCTCTGGTCTCTCTCTCTGGTCTCTCGGTCTCTCTGGTCTCTCTCTCTGGTCTCTCTCTGGTCTCTCTCTGGTCTCTCTCTCTGGTCTCTCTCTGGTCTCTCTCTCTGGTCTCTCTCTGGGTCTCTCTCTGGTCTCTCTCTCTGGTCTCTCTCTGGTCTCTCTCTGGTCTCTCTCTCTGGTCTCTCTCTGGTCTCTCTCTGGTCTCTCTCTGGTCTCTCTCTGGTCTCTCTCTGGTCTCTCTCTGGTCTCTCTCTGGTCTCTCTCTCTGTCTCTCTCTGGTCTCTCTCTGGTCTCTCTCTCTGGTTCTCTCTCTGGTCTCTCTCTGGTCTCTCTCTGGTCTCTCTCTGGTCTCTCTCTCTGGTCTCTCTCTGGTCTCTCTCTCTGGTCTCTCTCTGGTCTCTCTCTCTGGTCTCTCTCTGGTCTCTCTCTGGTCTCTCTCTCTGGTCTCTCTCTGGTCTCTCTCTGGTCTCTCTCTCTGGTCTCTCTCTCTGGTTTCTCTCTGGTCTCTCTCTGGTCCTTCTCTCTGGTTTCTCTCTGGTTTCTCTCTGGTCTCTCTCTCTGGTTTCTCTCTGGTCTCTCTCTGGTCTCTCTCTGGTCTCTCTCTGGTCTCTCTCTGGTCTCTCTCTCTGGTCTCTCTCTGGTCTCTCTCTGGTCTCTCTCTGGTCTCTCTCTGGTCTCTCTCTGGTCTCTCTCTGGTCTCTCTCTGGTCTCTCTCTGGTCTCTCTCTGGTCTCTCTCTGGTCTCTCTCTCTGGTCTCTCTCTGGTCCCTCTCTGGTCTCTCTCTGGTCTCTCTCTGGTCTCTCTCTCTGGTCTCTCTCTGGTCTCTCTCTGGTCTCTCTCTCTGGTCTCTCTCTGGTCTCTCTCTGGTCTCTCTCTCTGGTCTCTCTCTGGTCTCTCTCTGGTCTCTCTCTCTGGTCTCTCTCTTGGTCTCTCTCTGGTCTCTCTCTGGTCTCTCTCTGGTCTCTCTCTCTGGTTTCTCTCTGGTCTCTCTCTGGTCTCTCTCTGGTCTCTCTCTCTGGTCTCTCTCTGGTCTCTCTCTGGTCTCTCTCTGGTCTCTCTCTCTGGTCTCTCTCTGGTCTCTCTCTGGTCTCTCTCTGGTCTCTCTCTCTGGTCTCTCTCTGGTCTCTCTCTCTGGTCTCTCTCTGGTCTCTCTCTGGTCTCTCTCTCTGGTCTCTCTCTGGTCTCTCTCTGGTCTCTCTCTCTGGTCTCTCTCTGGTCTCTCTCTGGTCTCTCTCTGGTCTCTCTCTGGTCTCTCTCTCTGGTTTCTCTCTGGTCTCTCTCTGGTCTCTCTCTGGTCTCTCTCTGGTCTCTCTCTCTGGTCTCTCTCTGGTCTCTCTCTGGTCTCTCTCTCTGGTCTCTCTCTGGTCTCTCTCTGGTCTCTCTCTCTGGTCTCTCTCTGGTCTCTCTCTGGTCTCTCTCTGGTCTCTCTCTCTGGTCTCTCTCTGGTCTCTCTCTGGTCTCTCTCTCTGGTCTCTCTCTGGTCTCTCTCTCTGGTCTCTCTCTAGTCTCTCTCTGGTCTCTCTCTGGTCTCTCTCTGGTCTCTCTCTCTGGTCTCTCTCTGGTCTCTCTCTGGTCTCTCTCTGGTCTCTCTCTCTGGTCTCTCTCTGGTCTCTCTCTGGTCTCTCTCTCTGGTCTCTCTCTGGTCTCTCTCTCTGGTCTCTCTCTAGTCTCTCTCTGGTCTCTCTCTGGTCTCTCTCTCTGGTCTCTCTCTGGTCTCTCTCTGGTCTCTCTCTCTGGTCTCTCTCTGGTCTCTCTCTGGTCTCTCTCTGGTCTCTCTCTGGTCTCTCTCTCTGGTCTCTCTCTGGTCTCTCTCTGGTCTCTCTCTCTGGTCTCTCTCTGGTCTCTCTCTGGTCTCTCTCTCTGGTCTCTCTCTGGTCTCTCTCTGGTCTCTCTCTCTGGTCTCTCTCTGGTCTCTCTGGTCTCTCTCTGGTCTCTCTCTCTGGTTTCTCTCTGGTCTCTCTCTGGTCTCTCTCTGGTCTCTCTCTGGTCTCTCTCTCTGGTCTCTCTCTGGTCTCTCTCTGGTCTCTCTCTCTGGTCTCTCTCTGGTCTCTCTCTGGTCTCTCTCTGGTCTCTCTCTGGTCTCTCTCTGGTCTCTCTCTGGTCTCTCTCTCTGGTTTCTCTCTGGTCTCTCTCTGGTCTCTCTCTGGTCTCTCTCTGGTCTCTCTCTGGTCTCTCTCTCTGGTTTCTCTCTGGTCTCTCTCTGGTCTCTCTCTGGTCTCTCTCTGGTCTCTCTCTGGTCTCTCTCTCTGGTCTCTCTCTGGTCTCTCTCTGGTCTCTCTCTGGTCTCTCTCTCTGGTCTCTCTCTGGTCTCTCTCTGGTCTCTCTCTCTGGTCTCTCTCTGGTCTCTCTCTCTGGTCTCTCTCTAGTCTCTCTCTGGTCTCTCTCTGGTCTCTCTCTGGTCTCTCTCTCTGGTCTCTCTCTGGTCTCTCTCTGGTCTCTCTCTGGTCTCTCTCTGGTCTCTCTCTCTGGTCTCTCTCTGGTCTCTCTCTCTGGTCTCTCTCTCTGGTCTCTCTCTCTGGTCTCTCTCTAGTCTCTCTCTAGTCTCTCTCTGGTCTCTCTCTGGTCTCTCTCTGGTCTCTCTCTCTGGTCTCTCTCTCTGGTCTCTCTCTGGTCTCTCTCTCTGGTCTCTCTCTCTGGTCTCTCTCTGGTCTCTCTCTGGTCTCTCTCTGGTCTCTCTCTGGTCTCTCTCTCTGGTCTCTCTCTGGTCTCTCTCTGGTCTGGGTCAAATGCAGAGACACATTTTCAGGACAAAGAAGAACTTAACCTCGATCACATGACCTCACATTCCCGTCCACTCCGGCTCCGTCAGATTTTATCACATTTGTTGCACGTTTCTCCAAAACCTGATCCACAGAATCAGCCGCAGTGGGAGACCAGCTGCCCCCCCCCCTCCTCACCCCCCCCCCCCCCCCCCCCCTCCTCACCCCTCTCACCCCTCTCACCCCTCCCTCCCCTCTCCCCCCTCCTCTCCCCCTTCCTCACCCCTCCCTCTTCACTCTCTCCTAATTGCTGTTGCCGTAGCGTGGGCTGATTGTGGAAAATTATAGCTTTATCATCTCTGCTCAGACCCCCCCAGGTGCCCCCCCCCCCCCCCCCCAGGTGACCCCGCCCCCGGTGACCCCCCCCCCCCCTGCAGGCCTCGCTCCTGTTTGCTCCAGAGAGATTTCTGAGCTTTTCCTGTTCTTTAAAATGTTATTATGATAATAATAATAATAATAATAATAATAATAATATTTTGCACTTTCTTGGACTCGCTTTAAGAAAGAACAACAAAATAAAAAGCTTAAATTAGAAAAGAATGTTGGCAGTTTTGTGGGATTCAGGTCCTCAGGGTTCAGACTCAGTCCTCAGGGTTCAGACCCGGTCCTCAGGGTTCAGACTCGGTCCTCGGGGTTCAGACTCGGTCCTCAGCGTTCAGACTCTGTCCTCAGGGTTCAGACTCGGTCCTCAGGGTTCAGACTCGGTCCTCAGCGTTCAGACTCGGCCCTCGGGGTTCAGACTCAGTCCTCAGGGTTCAGACTCGGTCCTCGGGGTTCAGACTCAGTCCTCAGGGTTCAGACTCAGTCCTCGGGGTTCAGACTCGGCCCTCGGGGTTCAGACTCAGTCCTCAGGGTTCAGACTCGGTCCTCAGCGTTCAGACTCGGCCCTCTGGGTTCAGACTCAGTCCTCAGGGTTCAGACTCGGCCCTCGGTGTTCAGACTCAGTCCTCAGGGTTCAGACTCGGTCCTCGGGGTTCAGACTCAGTCCTCAGGGTTCAGACTCAGTCCTCGGGGTTCAGACTCGGCCCTCGGGGTTCAGACTCAGTCCTCAGGGTTCAGACTCGGTCCTCAGCGTTCAGACTCGGCCCTCGGGGTTCAGACTCAGTCCTCAGGGTTCAGACTCGGTCCTCAGGGTTCAGACTCGGTCCTCAGGGTTCAGACTCGGCCCTCGGGGTTCAGACTCAGTCCTCAGGGTTCAGACTCGGTCCTCTGGGTTCAGACTCAGTCCTCAGGGTTCAGACTCAGTCCTCAGGGTTCAGACTCGGTCCTCAGGGTTCAGACTCGGTCCTCAGCGTTCAGACTCGGCCCTCGGGGTTCAGACTCAGTCCTCAGGGTTCAGACTCGGTCCTCAGGGTTCAGACTCGGTCCTCAGGGTTCAGACTCGGTCCTCTGGGTTCAGACTCAGTCCTCGGGGTTCAGACTCGGCCCTCGGGGTTCAGACTCAGTCCTCAGGGTTCAGACTCGGTCCTCAGCGTTCAGACTCGGCCCTCGGGGTTCAGACTCAGTCCTCAGGGTTCAGACTCGGTCCTCAGGGTTCAGACTCGGTCCTCAGGGTTCAGACTCGGTCCTCAGGGTTCAGACTCGGTCCTCAGCGTTCAGACTCGGCCCTCGGGGTTCAGACTCAGTCCTCAGGGTTCAGACTCGGTCCTCAGGGTTCAGACTCGGTCCTCAGGGTTCAGACTCGGTCCTCTGGGTTCAGACTCGGTCCTCAGGGTTCAGACTCGGTCCTCAGGGTTCAGACCCGGTCCTCAGGGTTCAGACTCGGTCCTCAGGGTTCAGACTCGGTCCTCAGGGTTCAGACCAAGCCCCGGCGATCCAAGATGGCGCCCTATTCAAATGAATGGTTGTGCTCAGTGGCGCTTTGTGACGGCATGGGGGCTGAAAGATTAGCGGAAGTTGCCTGAAACTCTCAAAGATCTATGGGAAACTCGCAAAGATCTATGGAAACTCTCAAAGATCTATGGGAAACTCTCAAAGATCTATGGGAAACTCGCAAAGATCTATGGAAACTCTCAAAGATCTATGGGAAACTCTCAAAGATCTATGGGAAACTCTCAAAGATCTATGGGAAACTCTCAAAGATCTATGGGAAACTCGCCTGTATTTGGGCATCGTCTGGTCCTCCTGGTTCTGTGCAGTGGATGATCTCCCATAATGCATTGTGTCAAACACGCGTGTGTGGGTCTCACACCGGGTCTCACGCACGTGCACAGAGGGGCTCGGCCGCGCTCTGACCAATCAGAGCAGTTCATCAGCGCGGGAGTTAGAGCGAGAGCCAGAGAGAGAGAGAGCGAACCCAGAGAGAGAGAGAGCGACCCAGAGAGAGAGAGCGAACCCAGAGAGAGAGAGAGCGAACCCAGAGAGAGAGAGAGCGACCCAGAGAGAGAGAGCGACCCAGAGAGAGAGAGCGACCCAGAGAGAGAGAGCGACCCAGAGAGAGAGAGCGACCCAGAGAGAGAGAGAGCGAACCCAGAGAGAGAGAGAGCGAACCCATAGAGAGAGCGACCCAGAGAGAGAGAGAGAGCGAACCCAGAGAGAGAGAGCGAACTCATAGAGAGAGCGACTTGGAGAGAGAGAGACCCAGAGAGAGAGAGAGACCCAGAGAGAGAGTGAACCCAGAGAGAGAGAGTGAACCCAGAGAGAGAGAGAGACCCAGAGAGAGAGAGAGACCCAGAGAGAGAGCGAACCCAGAGAGAGAGAGCGAACTCATAGAGAGAGCGACTTGGAGAGAGAGAGACCCAGAGAGAGAGAGAGACCCAGAGAGAGAGCGAACCCAGAGAGAGAGAGCAAACCCAGAGAGCCTGAGGAATGTGAGTCTGACATCGCTCACATTAAGTCCAGCCCGGATTCTGCTGCGTCGACTGTTCCCTGTTTCCTGTAACGGGCCGACCACACCGGGCCCCTCCACACCGGGCCCCTCCACGCCGGGCCCCTCCACGCCGGGCCCCAGAACTTCCTGAGCTGCCATGTCTTAATACCAGAATACATTAGATCCACGCAGGGCCCTGTCACCCGGGGAGCAGAGCGGGGCCTGGACCTGCTCTAACAAGGCCCTCCTCACAGTGCGGAGCTCGGCCTGTCCGCTGCGTTTAAGGAGAAAGTCAATCTGTCACTTCCAGCTCCGGAACGCCGTCGGAGCGCCGTCAGAGCGCCGTCAGAGCGCCGTCAGAGCGCCGTCAGAGCGCCGTCAGAGCGCCGTCAGAGCGCCGTCAGAGCGCCGTCAGAGCGCCGTCGGAGCGCCGTCAGAGCGCCGTCAGAGCGCCGTCAGAGCGCCGTCGGAGAGCAGCACCTGGAAACAATTACAGCGTCTCCCTCTCTCTCCGTCTCTGGTCTCATGGCTCAGGTTCTCCGGGCTCCGAGGACGCTTGTTTTATCCATTAGCGCACCGTCCATTAGCCTCTGGCGCTAATAGAAGAAGCCTGGAGCGACACTTTACTACTAATACTTGCTTCTGTATTATGCTAACCTTAGAGCGACAGAACACTCCTGATTGGTCGGTTGTTAGGGCTATGTCTGGATTTGCAAAGACACAATCACAAAATAAACCCCGGGATCACAGAGAGCGATAAACCATGATTTATTTTAGCCTAAAACTTTGAGTGTGAGACGAACAGAGCGGGAGGAGTTTACTTTTACATGTGAGTCAGAAGGAGCCAGAGAGAGATGGAGCCAAACTTCACCATGAGCACTTCTCTGTAGGGCTTCATGGAGTATTATCAGGCATGTCAAAGTCAAATACATCAGAGGGCCAAAAAAAAATGTTTGCTACGCGCCGAGGGCCGGACTGGTTCAATGTTTCTCAACATCCAGAGGCAGTGCCGGTGACACCAGAGGCAGTGCCGGTGACACCAGAGGCAGTGCCGGTGACACCAGAGGCAGTGCCGGTGACACCAGAGGCAGTGCCGGTGACACCAGAGGCAGTGCCGGTGACACCTGTGGCTCGATAAAATATGCTCCAAAGCCAATCCTCATACTGTACATATTAGATGTAATAGACATCTGAGAACATGAAAATAGTAAACAAAGAAAAACCTCAAACTTGGTGAAATGTAAAAGAGCAGTCTGGACCTCTTTTCGGGGCGTTTTTTGATTAAATCTGAAGAATGGATTATACTTTGGGAAATACAAGTGGATATTCTTCTTCAATGAACAGTTACGGAGAGAAAGAGACTAAGCAAGGATGGGGAAAGTCTAATTTGTTGGAGCAGCAGAAGACGAAAGGTAAAAAACTAATACAGACTGATTTATTTTGTACCCATATTATGCGTTATATATTTTTAATGCAAAGTCTGATATCGTTTACGCTTACATATAAATATAGCTGAGAAAATAAGCTTTAAAATGATATATAGCTTGTGGCTTATGAAGTTCAAAATACATCTGCTATTGCCAGCAGATGTTTTTTTTTCCTCGTTTGCTCCCGCCGGCGGGGGCTAGCGAGCTTAAGGAGGCATTGCCTCAATGGCAGGCAATGTCCCGGGGGCCATAGATAATTCATTCGCGGGCCAAATGGCCTTGACTTTGACACATGTGGAGTATAGGGTTAGCATTGTCCATCTGTATAGTCTGTGTTAGCATTAGCATCTGTATACAGTCTGTGTTAGCATTAGCATCAGTATACGGCCTGTGTTAGCATTAGGCAAGGCAAGGCAAGTTTATTTGTATAGCACAATTCATACACAAGGCAATTCAAATGCTCCTCAGAGTCCCAGCAGGAGACCAGTCCCTGTGCTCCTCAGAGTCCCAGCAGGAGTCCAGTCCCTGTGCTCCTCAGAGTCCCAGCAGGAGTCCAGTCCCTGTGCTCCTCAGAGTCCCAGCAGGAGTCCAGTCCCTGTGCTCCTCAGAGTCCCAGCAGGAGTCCAGTCCCTGTGCTCCTCAGAGTCCCAGCAGGAGTCCAGTCCCTGTGCTCCTCAGAGTCCCAGTAGGAGTCCAGTCCCTGTGCTCCTCAGAGTCTCAGCAGGAGTCCAGTCCCTGTGCTCCTCAGAGTCCCAGCAGGAGTCCAGTCCCTGTGCTCCTCAGAGTCCGGGCTGGTTCATATGGGACTAACATGTCACTAATATATTTTGGTGCGAGGCCATGGAGAGACTTGTAACAAGCAGAGCTGTTTTAAAGTCTATTCTCTGAGCCACAGGAAGCCAGTGCAGAGACCTGAGGACTGGACTAATGTGGTCGTACTTCCTGGTTCTAGTCAGGACTAATGTGGTCGTACTTCCTGGTTCTTGTCAGGACTAATGTGGTCGTACTTCCTGGTTCTAGTCAGGACTCGAGCTGCTGCATTTTGAATGTACTGCAGCTGTTTTACAGCCTGTTTGGACAGACCTGTGAGCAGGCCATTGCAGTAGTCTAACCGACTGGAGACAAATGCATGGATAAGAATCTCCAGGTCTGCTTTAGACACTATGTTTTTGATCCTGGCAAGGTTTTTTAGATGGTAAAAAGCTGCTGATGTTACTGATTTGATGTGGCTATTAAAATGTAAGTCTGAGTCCAGTATTACCCCTAGATTTCTGACCTTGTTTGAAGGTTTTAGGGAGAGAGACTGTAGATGACAGATAACGCTCTCTCTTTGTTTCTGGGGACCAAAGACAATCATTTCAGTTTTGTCTGCGTTTAGCTGAAGGAAGTTGTTTTGCATCCACTCACTGATCTGTTGGATACAGTGAAGGAGTGAGTCCACTGGTCCATGTTCTCCTGCAGTCAGTGAGACATAGATCTGAGTGTCGTCTGCATAGTTGTGATAGGACACTTTGTTTCTGCGTATTAACTGACCTAACGGCAGCATGTAGAGATTGAACAGAAGAGGTCCCAGGATCGACCCCTGTGGTACTCCACAGGTCAGGGCCATATGATCTGAGACACAGTTTCCAATCTCCACAAAGTACTTCCTGTCTTCAAGGTAAGACCTAAACCAACTTAGGGCGGTGCCAGCGACGCCAACCCAGTCCTCTAGTCTCTGTAAGAGGATCTCATGGTCGACAGTGTCAAAGGCAGCACTTAGATCTAACAGGATTAGGATTGAGACTTTGCCTGCGTCAGTGTTTAGCCGGATATCGTTTGTAACCTTAACGAGAGCAGTCTCAGTGCTGTGGTGGGGTCTAAAGCCAGACTGAAACATATCAAATGAGTTGTTGATTATAAGAAATCTAGTAAGCTGTAGGTAGACAACTTTCTCAAGGACTTTCCCCATAAATGGCAGATTTGAGATGGGACGATAGTTGTTAAGTACCGTAGCATCCAGACTGCTCTTTTTTATCAGGGGCCTGATGACTGCAGTTTTCAGGGCCTTTGGGAATATTCCAGAATGAAGGGACATGTTTACTATCTGTGTGAGTGAAGGTAACAGACTGCTCAGAACAGACTTTAGAAATCTAGTGGGTAGTACATCCAGGCTGCATGTGGAGGCGCTCAGACTGGAGATTATCTCTTGGACAGTTTGATCATTTACAGGTGCAAAGTAAGTTAGCTCAAAGAGCCTTTCTGGCTGTTGGATTGTTATCTGTGGATTGGAGACAATGGCGTTTTTGATGCCTTGAACCTTGTCATAGAAAAAAAACTCATTACATTTACGTTTGGAAGTTAGCTCTAATGGCATCTGAACAGGGGGGTTTGTTAATCTATTAACTGTTGAAAACAGAACATGCAGATTGTTGCTGCAGCCTTCAATCATTTCAGAAAAATACCTTTCTCTCGTACTACGTAGCACCTGGTTAAACTCGCACAACTTATCTTTGAAGATCTTGTAATCAACCTGGAGGTTGGACTTGCGCCACTTCCGCTCGGCCCTCCAGCACGTTCTCTTTTGTGCCCTGACCGAGTCTGCTTTAGCCCACGGCGCCTTCTGCTTATTTTTCACTATTTTAACCTTCACAGGAGCGATGGTGTCCAGAACTTTCAAAACACTAGAGGTAACAGAGTTAAACAGTTCATCTACAGTAGAATACGATGCATTCTCAAAGTTTATCATTCCCATAAATAGTTCACTCGTATTTTCATTTATGCGCCTTCTTCGTACAGTTGCAGAGTCCACTGGTGGTTTGTTAGTGAAACACATGTCAAAAAATATACAAAAATGATCCGAAAGAGCAACATCGACCACGTTTACATTATAAATGTTCACCCCCTTTGTAACTAACAGGTCTAGAGTGTGCCCTCTGCTGTGGGTGGGGCCACTCACATGCTGAGTGAGACCAAAGGATTCAAGTACAGAACTCAGCTCATTTGCATTTCTGTCATTAACATTATCCACATGAATATTAAAATCACCTGTAATAACTAAACTATCAAAATCTGTGCATAAAACTGAAAGAAACTCTGTAAAATTATCAATAAAACTGTGACATGACTGCGGTGGCTTGTATAGGACAACGAAAAGTATTGGAGGAGATTGTTTTTGTTGTATTTTAAAAGACACATATTCAAAAGACGAAAACTTCCCAAGAGACATTCTATGGGAGACAAAGTGGTCTCTAAAAATGGCAGCTAAGCCTCCTCCTTTTTTGTTTTCCCGTATTTCAGATTCAAATTTGAAATTTGGTGGTGATGCTTCTATTAAAACTGCATTTCCTGAATTTTGGTCAAGCCAAGTTTCAGCCATGAACATAAGATCAAGATTATGAGAAGAAATAAAATTATTGATTAAAAAAGACTTGTTACAAAGAGATCTGACATTAAGCGTAGCAAGTTTAAAAGTTTCAGGATCAGCGGTTGTGGTCGGCTGATTCTTACACGGAACAAGAATTAGATTTTCCAGATTAGACTGATTAACTCCAGATGTTTTTCTGTAATGTATTCTTTGTGTTATCACTAAGGGAATGGCACAGGTGGCTTCATGACATTAGCATCTGTATACAGTCTGTGTTAGCATTGGCATCTGTAAACAGCCTGTGTTAGCATTAGCATCTGTATACAGTCTGTGTTAGCATTAGCATCTGTATACAGTCTGTGTTAGCATTAGCATCTGTAAACAGC